GTGCACACAGACTAAAAAGATTACAAGTATTTTTTGATCCACTACACTGACCAACACAAACACAATTACTATATCTTGCCTTTGCCTTGCAGATAAGTCAAGTCAAAACCAATCCTAACTAAAATATTTTGATCATAATTTAAACTGTCTCTGTAAACATGAAGTTGAAATGTCAGAAAACGTTGTACAATTAAAAACAGACAAAAAAATGTGCATGGGGCAAAAGAGCCACTAAGTCGACACAGCAAGAAAGTTGCATCACTAACGTGAACTCATTGCCCACATTCCTGCATAATCAGAACTCCTTTTTGCTGAGGCAACTTTGGAGATATTTCATCATTTACATCACACCAGCTCTTCTAACCACCTTCAAAGGAACACAGCTGTCATTAAGTCATTTTCTTTGCTAAAAAAAAACCAAAAAAAAAAAAAAAAAAAAAATCAACAAATAAAACCACCACCCTTGAACTTCAAAAAGACTGAAAAGAAGCTGAACCATCTGTTTCCATCTGTTTGGTTTTGCAATACTTCTATACCAAGTAAAACTAATACATTTAGACAGGTCTTTATCATCACTCTCCTAGAGCACCTTACCCACCCTCTGTTAAAGATGGGTCATAAGCCTGGTAATAGGATGCAGTCCTAAATACAAGCTTATCCAAAATTAGCAAGTTGCCAATGCTGAATGGCATATTTGTAGGTTTTTTAACTTTTAATCTTTTTTTGTCTTTCACTAAAAGTTATTTGAGAGCAACAGGTTTAAAATGCTACAGAACATAAAACATTTTGGAAGTAATTATTTAATTGTTCAAAACCACACACCACCAACTTGTTCTTGAAGTGGGATATGAAATTGGAAATGCAAGTATCTGCTGGCTCAGCAAGGCTGTTCAAAACATGAAACAAAAGCCATGGTCTTTTTCTCATCCTTACCTATCAAAGAACACAAATACAGCAAACTTACATTTTCAGAGTAGAAGCAGCCACTTTGATTTCCTGCTGA